AAGGACCGAGTTAAACAAGAAACCTAAAATATTGCATTAAAGTGAATTTGGGGCGTCGGAAAAAATAATAGGAAAATGGTAATGAAAATATACGAAATGTACTCGAAGGTCGCTAAAATGGTAGATATTTTAAAAATTACCATTTCAAGGACCACATGCCCAATAAGTTTGGTTTTTTGACATATTTTTCCAAGAACTAACTGACAGATAATCTTGGTTTTTATACCCTTAACCATGTGGCTAGAGGGGGTATTTAATTTGATACGGCCAAAACGTGCCTCATCAAATTAACGCTTTTAGACCCTAGGTCTCTTGGGACAAATCCGTTTCAGTTCATTTGGTATCGATCTAGCGATGTCTGTCCGTCCGTTTGTCTATCGGTCTGGCTTGGTCCGAATTGGGTTCATCGTAATATTATTGTCAAACTTAGATCAAGTTCGGAGTTGGGCAACATCGGCCCACTCCTTCTGGTACCTTCCCCACAAAAGTTCGACATTTTCAAAAAAATATTTTTCTGTACAGAAAGAGAACGAATAATCCGTATCCTAATAATTGCATCAGCGCTGGTTCAGGTGCGAAAATAGGCAATTTCGGTCCACTCCATCAAGTACCTCCCTTACAAAGGCTCAACATTTTGCATAAATATAACACTTACAAAAAGTGATGTAAAAGTCCGATTGCCTTAAAAATAACAAATATAACAATATTTTTATTACCCAAAGGTCCGCTGTGAAGATGGACTATATCGGTTCACTCCTTCTGGTACCTCCCCCACAAAGGGTCAACATTTTGAATATCATGAAGCTCATAAAAAACGAAACTAACACCCGATTCCATTCAGATTTGACACATCTCAATATTTTCATCACCACAAAATCTGTTATAAAAATGGTAGAGATCAGACCATTTCTTCAGGTACCTTCCACACATAGGATCCAAAATTTTAAAAGCAAAATGCTCAAAGGAATCGTAATAAGCATCCAACTCTCTTAAAATTTCAAACATACAAACATACATGACATATATCTGCGAACCCCTTCTGGTATCTCACCCACAATTTTCAATACGTTTAGCTGTCATAACTTGCGTAACAAGTCAGCGATTCTTTACAACTTTATATATCTAAATATTTTCCTCAAGCATAAACCTGAGATGAATATGGAATTTATGATTTCGCATAAAATTTGATATTAATGTTCGATTTTCTGATTTCCAATATTTTATCTGCATGAAGTTTGAAAATGGAATACTTCGATCGACTATATATGTGCTACCTCACGCACATTTTAATATTTTTTTTTAGAATTATCACATTTCCCATATAAAGTTCAGGAAGTGACCAATATACCTGGCACGTCACAATCATCATAATGGCCCTTTCTTTCGGCACCTACTCCATTGGGGGTCTAAAATTTCTATAATCATAACAGAAATCAAAATATATTTATATAATCGAGCATTGGATGAGAGTATACATCTGCCGGCATAACCGTATTGTATTTTTAAATAAAATTTTAGGATAAATCGTCGTGAAGTTTAAAATAAATTATTGAAACAACCAATTGACCAATAAAAGTCTTTAGATAATATTCCGAAAGGACCAAGTATCTGCTATTTGATTAAGCACATTTTTTAATGAATCACTGACCAATAACCTTTGATTTTTTGATAAATGGACTCTGACAAATAATCTTTGTCTTGTTTTCAATGGCCAAATACTCAATACATTTTGATATTTTAAAAAAAAATATCTTTTCAAGTTGGTTCTAGCACCAATGGTGACTTGGGTGACTAGTGAAATTTGGTGAAGAATATTTTTGTCTTTGACGTCATCCCTCTAAAAGTATGTTTTGTTGGAGGTTTTTGCACAAAATCACTGATAAAGTGAGGCTTTAACCCTAAAATGTGTGTTTTAGTATATATGAATTCCAGGCGTGAATGCAAACTTCAGATTCTTGACGACTTCTGGGACGTAGGGTGAGATAAAACATTTTTAATTTTTTTTTTTTTTTAATTTTATTGAATGAAAGCTAAAAATGTCGGAAATTGTATCAAATTTTAGAATAAGTTTAGATTTGTTCGAATTGGTCACCTTTGGCACGAATTGTGGCCTTCAAACGGCCAATGAAACTGTCACACGCTACCCGAATGTTGCTCTGCGGTATTTTGGCCCATTCCCAGCGAAGCGCTCTTTTTAGGTGATCGACACTATGGTATTTTTTAGTGCATTCCAAAATACTCCAGATACAATAGTCCAACGGATTGGTATCCGTAGATTTTGTTGACCATTGTGCGCTGGAAATGAAGCGAGGAACCTCATTTTGTAACCATTCTTGGGTGGCGCGTGCTGAGTGCAATGGTGCTGAGTCTTGTTGGAATGTCCAAGGTCTGCGGCCAAAATGTTTGCGTGGCCAAGGCTTTAATACGCCCTCCAGAATATTTTCGTGATAATATTCGGCATTTATTCTGATCGGCAGTTATGGCCGCCCATGCACCATGCACATTTTCAGCTGACCTCTTTGGCAAGTTAACACGATTATCTTGTTTGTTTACAAACTGCTGGAAAACGAATGTTTTCTCATCGGAAAAAATCAATTTCAGCAGTTCACCACTTTCGGCCAAGCGGAGCAACTCTTTAGCTTTTTTGAGTCTATTTTCTTTTTGTTGCGGTGTAAGTCTTTGCACTTTTTCGCATTTCAATGGCTTTAACCCGAGCTCATTTTTCAATATTTTTGGCGAATGGAATATTGCAATAAGTTCAGCTCACGAGCCATTTTTCGGCCACTGCGACGCGAGTTTCGATCAAGTCGTTTCTTTACTTTTCAAACCATTTCTGCTGATGTTGCTGTTTTCTTCCGTCCCCTTACTTGACGTCAGGCTACGCTGCCAGTATCAGGGTAACACATTTAAATGCTGGAGTGCTCTAACGATAGCCACTTGTGGTTTTCCAGTCAAATATTAAGAAATCACACTATGACGCAGTTTTTTATCTCACTCTGTATAGTAGAATTTTATGACAAATAATTCTGTAGAATATATTGACTTACTAAGATCCTGTTTAGAGGGAATTTTTAGCCATATTTAAAAAAGGGACCAAACGTACCAAAATATTTCTCGTAATTATACCCTACACCACAAGGTGGTCAGGGTATTATGTCTTTGTGCATTTGTTTGTAACAGGCAGAAGGAAACGAGATAGACCCATAGTTCCTTTTGACGATCTGCATAGAATCATTTTCTGAGTTGATTTATGAATGTCAGTCCGTCTGTCCGTCCGTCCGTCTGTCCATGTATTCTTGTGAACAAAATGCAGGTCGCATTTATTATCCGATTGAGATGAAATTTTGCAAACAACATTTGTTTGGCCCAAGGACGAACCCTATTGAAATTGGAGATAATCGGTAAAAATTTAGGTATAGCTCCCATATATATCTTCGTCCGATTTGCCTTTTATTGTGCACCAAACGTGTAATATCAGCCCGAATAGTATGGAATTTTGCACATACAACCAAATTAGGCCTGAAAATAAGTATGCCAAATTTGATCGAAATCGGTTCAGATATAGCTATAGCTCCCATATATATTGTTCATCCGATTTGTTATTTCTGTCCTCCGCAGCCGTAATATGCACTCTGTAACCACAATATTTGGGGAAATATATCAAATGCAGCTTAGAAATACATTTGCTAAATTTTATCGAGATCGGTTCTGATTTGGATATAGCTCCCATATATAACTTCGTCCGATTTACCATTTATTGTGCACCAAACGTCTAATATTTGTCCAAATGGGTTGAAATTTGGCACATACGACCGAATTTAGTCTAGAAGGTAGTATGCCAAATTTGGTGAAGATCGGTTCGGATATAGTTATAGCTCCCATATTTATTGTTCATCCGATTTATTGTATTTGTTACCCACAGCCGTAATATGCACTTCGTAACAACGATATTCAGGGAAATATATCAAATACAGCTCAGAAATATCTTTGCCAAATTTTATCGAGATCGGTTCAGATTTGGATATAGTTCCCATATATATTTTATCCGATTTCAAATTAATTTCGCACCAAATGGGCAATACAAGTCCGAATTTAAAAGATACAAATGCTTCGGCATATTTGGTCCTTTGAACTTTAAATTATAATGATAATCATAGCGTGTATGATTGAATTTTTCCATAAAAACTTTTAATTGTTATGCGCAGCTCAACTAAATTAGCAAAGTGTTGTAGGCCGATAGACATTATATACCTAAAATGCACGGATTCAGAGGAATGTTACTCTGAAATTTTCCAAAAGTGTCAAAGAGGGGGGAACTTGTCTCCTCTTTTTTTTTTGGTTACTTTTCAAAGTAAACTCTCCGATACATTTGTCTTTTTTTTGCACTACTTTCATAATCGGCTGAATTTTCCCCGTAATTATTGAAAAATTGAATTCTGTCGCACAGTGTTATCAATATAGGTCCACGTTTTGATATATGCCCCTTATAATGGAACCCCGAACAATTGTGGAATTTTAAACACATTTTCTAGGACTAAATCATAGAGTTTTAAATATTATTATTACAAGGACCAACTGTCCAATTATTTTAGGCTCTCTTGTCGCAGTTTGTTTTAATACAAGGGAAATTGGAAAAAATTGCATCTTACATTTTATTAGTATTAAAAATATAAAATATATTTATTATAAAATATTTTTATTCTAACTAAACAATATCTGGTTCCACCACAACCACTTATTTTCAAATCGATAAACAGATAATCTCATCCAATCATGTGGAATATAATTGAAAACAGCCACACAATAATTAACTTGACATTGTCCCACTTGATAAGTCAGTCCATGTGAAAAAATACAAGTCAAGCGTTTGGCTTATTTTCACCTAAAACCCAACAACTCGTTCACAAAACAAATAAATAAATACAACTCAAAACTGCTAAGTTTAATAAATGCTAATTAGATTTGTTGTCTGTTCTGCTTGCTTTCGTTTCTTCTTTCAGATTTCGTCTAAATGTTACGGCCAAATTAAATGTGAGAAAAATCGAAACCTCCAACCAGCCATTAAACACACAGCGACACCAACAATAGCAACAACAACAACATGAATAAATTAAAATCCATGCTACCGCCATCCCTGACGTCATCATCGTCATCGAATGCCGCCAGACGTCAGTCGGAAAATCTGGAACCCGAAATCGGTTTCCAGTTGACCATCGAAGCTAGTTCACCCCAAAATTCCAATGATCCTCATGCACCAAAGACAGTCATACCTGAGCTGAATGTTCATTTGATGGCAGCGCGACATCTGCCGTCGTTGTTTGGTTTTAAAATTGTACAAGGTTACCTGATAAAAGTGAGTGTTTCGTTTAGCGAAGACAGCAACCATGTGATTATGAAATGACACTTTAATTTTTGTTACACCCTGTTTTCCAGGTAAAGCTTTTTCCCGGTTCGAAACGTTTGGATAGTACGATACAAACGAACACATGGCCAAAGTTTAATGAAACTTTCAAATTTCCCTTGGCACCAGAAATAAAGTGAGTAAATGGAGAAAAATTGAATTGTATTATTTTTATACGCCTCACCGTAGTATGAGGGTATATTAAGTTTGTCATTCCCTTTGTAACACCTCGAAATATACATTTTAGACCCCACAAAGTATATATATATATTTTTGATTAGCATAAAATTCTATGTCGATTTAGCAATGTCCGTCCGTCTGTAGAAGTCACTCTAGCTTCCGAACGAAATTAAGTAGGTTGATAAATTTAACTCAAATGTGTATTATGTCTGCAGGACTTTTGGTATTGAAAATGGACCATGTAGGTCCACGTCTTCGTATAGCCCCCATATAACGATACCTACCGATATGCGGTATTTTGATGATTTTAGCGACCTTGTTAATCGGAATAATTTCAAATTTAGTATTTGAAGTTCGTAATAGATGCTACAGTATTAAATAGGCCATGTAGGTCCACGTCTTCGTATAGCCCCCTTATAACGGTACCTCCCGATATTTTGATGATTTTAGAGACATTATTTACCGGAACTATTTTAAATTTATTATTTGTAGTTCGTAATGAATACTACAGCCTATGACAGAAAAATTTTCTGTAAGAGGTCCACTACTTCGTATAGCCTCCATATAACTGTACTCCCCGATATTCAGTACTTTGATGATTTTATCATAATGTCGAATGACCGGAACTATTTCAAATTTGGTATTTGAATTTCGTAATGAATATTACAGCCTATGACAGACAATTGTCTGTGCGGGTCCACGTCTTAGTATAGCCCCCATATAACGGAACCCCCGATATTCGGTATTTTGATGATTTTAGCGACATTATTTACGGGAATTATTTCACAGCCTATGCCAGAAAATTGTCGGTGCAGGTACACGTTTTATAACCCCCATGGTACCCCCCGATATTCGGTACTTTGGTGATTTTAGTGACATTATTTACCGGAACTATTTCAAATTTGGTATTTGAATTTCGTAATGGATACTACAGCCTATGACAGAAAATTGTCGGTGAAGGGACACGTTTTATAACCCCCATAGTACCTCCCTATATGTTGATGATTTTAGCTACATTACATTTTTCAAGTTTCGCATTTGAATATTGTAATAGCTTGTGACAAAAGTTGCCTATGCAGGTCCAGATAGACCCTAATATACGGCTACATTCGGTATTTTTAAGATTTTAATCGAATTTTTAACGGATTTTATTTTGTTTTTTAATTGCCAAATTTGTACAGAACTTACAGTTTTTTTTACTTGTTTTTTTTTTTAATGTGTGGATCGATTTATAATGAAACAAGTTAAATTATATTAGACGGTTTTACCGACAAATATATACTATGTCTGATTATCTTTATTTAAAATATTAACCCTTTAGGGTAGAAGTAGCAAAGTAGTGGGACAATATTGTCCACTAAATCTGACAAAAAATATTACGACGCACCAGTTTTGGAAAATATAAAAGGGTAGTGAAATAACTGACTGATCGATAATCAACGCCCAGACGAAACGGAAATTTTGCACGAGGGTTAGTCTTGGTGCGTAGGTGTGTGATAAGGCTGGGTTCTTGGAAATACCTACTAAAAGGGTACGAAAAATAATAAAATGTTCTAAAAATGTAATACTTTGTGTTGGATATTATGAAATTTGGAATGAGAATCACTGATGAAGTGCAGGATGGATGTTCCAAAGGGTCTTTGGAAGTTCAAACTTTAAGGTAACGAAAAGTTCTAAAATGGTACCAAATTTCTAAAATCGTACCATTTGGTATTATGTGAACGGATAGAGCTAAAAACTTTAAATTTAGTATGAGAATCAAAATTGCAAAATAAGTTTGATATGGGGTGGGTGGTTTTGGAAATGTGTTTCAAGTGTGCAAACTGTACTAAAGGGTACTAAATTTGGAACAGTTTGATGTTTTGGTGTTGGAAATGGTAGGTTTGAAAATTAAAGTTGGTTTGGAAATATGTACGGAAATTACTAATTGGTACTAAATTTGGCACAGTTTGATTAGGGTGAACCAATGAAGCTGGAATTTTGAAATTTTGTATTGGGAAAGCTGTACCAACCACCAGGATTGTGACAAAGAGATGGTTTTGGTACAACTTGGTACTGGGTGAACGGATGAAGCTGGAATTTTGAAATTTTTATCAGGGTCGCTGTTCATGTGTAGCCTGGACATATGAAGGTGGTTTCGGAAAAGTGTACTTATTGTGCGAACTGTACTAAATGGTACTATATATGAAAAAGTTCGGTTTAGGTTGATCGGACGAAGCTGAAATTTTGAAGTTTTGGTGTTGGAAATTGTAGGATTGAGAATTAAAGTTGGTTTTGGAAATATATATGGTAATTACTAAATGGTACTAAATTTGGAGCAGTTTGATTTAGTGTGAACTGGCATAGCTGGAATTATGAAATTTTGTATTGGGATCGCCGTACCTACCACCAGGTTTTTAAAAAAAGAGGTTGTTTTAGAAAAGGGTACTACAAGTGCACGAAAAGTACTAAAAAGTACTTTATTTGTTACAACTTGAAATTGGGTGGATGGATAAAGCTGGAATTTTTAAATATGCATTAGGGTCGCTGTTCTTGTGCAGTCTGAAAATATGTACCATAATTGTACGAAAAGTACTTATTGGTACTAAATTAGGTATTGGGTAAAATAAAAGAGCTGAAATCCTGCATTTTTATATGGATGTCACTGTTGGTGTCTGTGGTAGTTAGTTTTGAAAATGTGTTTTATCATTGTACCAAAAGTACTAAGTGGTACAAAATTTAGTATTGAGTGAAGGGATATAGGTGTAATTTCGAAATTATGGTATTGGGGTCCCTGTTGGTGTTAGGTTAAAGTTGGGATTGAAAATGTTGAAATAGTACTATATTAAGTACAAAAGGTTATAGCGTAAACAGATAGTGCTTGAAATTTGTAGCCTGGTCATATGGATATGATTTCGGAAATATGTACTTCAACTGTACGAAAAGTACATGGTACTACATTTGTTATTGGGTTAAGAGATAGAAATAAAATTCTGAAATTTAATATTTATATTAAGGATGGTATCTGTGTTTGAGATTTTTCGGTGGTTTTGAAACATGTCCTATATTTGTACGAAAAGTACTAAAAGGTACTAAATTTGGTATTGGGTGAAGGGATACGGCTGGAATCCTCAGATTTAACATTAAGGTCGCTGTTGGTGTCTGTTGTTAAGATAGCGAGGTGGTGTTGAAAATGTGTACTATAATTGTACGAAAAGTACGGAATGGTACTATATTTAGTATTGAGTGAAGGAATATAGCTGGAAACCTCAAATTTGATATTCAGGTCTCTGCTTGTATTTGGATTTGTACGAAAAGTACTAAGTGGTACTAAATTTGGTATTGAGTGAAGGGATAGTACTAGAACTCCGAAATTTGATATTGTAGTATCTGTTCGTGTCTGGGATTGAGATATGGAGGTGGGTGTCTGTGGATAAGATATGGACGTGATGTTGGAAATGTGTACTATAATTGTACGAAAATTACGGAATGGTACTATATTTGGCATTGGGTGCAGGAATAAAGCTGAAATCCTCAAATTTGATATTGAAGTCTCTGATTGTGTCTGGATTTGTATGAAAAGTACTAAGTGGTACTAAATTTGTTATTTTTGATTTGAATAGATCTAGAATCCCGAAATTTGATATTGTGGCCTCTGTTCATGTCAGGAATTGAGATATGGAGGTGGTTCTGGAAATGCGTACAATAATCGAAAAGTACTAAGTGGTATTAAATTTGTTACTGGTCGAAGGTATAGGACTGAAATCCTTAATGTTCATTTTGAGATCACTGTTCGTTTCTAGAAGGAGTGCGCCGATAAGTTCCATATTCGCAACAAATATCTGACTGTTAAAAAAAAATTTAATGCACAAAGTTTGAAAAAGTCGTGATATTGTTGCCTTGAGCTTCATGGTTGTTCCCATGAGCTCCATGGTTGGTCAAAATTTTTACTGATTGTGGGGAAGGTACCAGAAGGAGTGGTTTGTTCTATTAGTTATCTATAACAGATCTGGTGTTGATAAAAATACTGAGATGTGGGAAATTTGAGAATAATCGGACTTTATTTCACATTTTATAAGACTTCAAAATTTTGGAGGTACTTGATGGAGTGAGCCGTTATTGTTCATTTTTGCCTGACCTGACTTAGCACTGATAAAAATATTAGAATTTGCAAAGTTTGCATAAAATCGTATCATCCTTTTTATACCTTCCACCTTTGAAAGGAGGGTATATTAACTTTGTCATTCCGTTTGTAACATCCTTAAATATTCGTCTTAGACCCCATAAAGTATATATATTCATAATCAGCATAAAATTCTAAATCGATTTAACGATGTCCGTCTGTCTGTCTGTCCGTCTGTCTGTCTGTTGAAATCACGATACAGCCCACATTATTTGACGTAGAGCTCCAAAATTTAGCAGAGCTATTTGCATTGTGTCTAGGATGGTTGGTATTGAAAATGAGATATATCGGTCCACGTTCTGGTATAGTCCCCATATAACGGTACCTCCCGATATTCGTTATTTTCATTATTTATGCCACATTTTTTCACGGATTTGTCTGGAAATTGGTATTTGTAGGTCATAACGGGTCCCTGAGTGTGTGGCAAAACATTGCATGTATAGGTCCACGTTGTGGTATAGCCCCCATATAAAGGAACCTCCCGATATTCGGTATTTTATTTTATTTTTTTTTTGCCACATTTTTTCACGGATTTGTCTAAAAATTGGTATTTGTTGGTCATAATGGTTTCCAGCTCCGGTGGCGGAACATTGCATGTATGGGTCCATAATTTGGTATAGCCCCCATATAACGGTACCTCCAGATATTCGGTAATTTGATGATTTTTGCAACATTTTTCCACGGATTTGTCTGAAAATCGGTATTTGTTGGTCATAATGGGTTCCAGCTCCGGTGGCGAAACATTGCATGTAAGGGTCCATGATTTGGTATAGCCCCCATATAACGGTACCTCCCGATATTCGGTATTTTGATGGTTTTTGCCACATTTTTTCACTGATTTGTCTAAAAGTTGGTATTTGTGGGTCATAATGGGTCCTAGTTCGTGTGGCGAAACATTCTAATTATAGGTCCACGTTTTGGTGTAGCCCCCATATTACGGTACCTCCCCATAATCGGCATTTTAAAGGTTTTTGCCACATTTCTTCTAATGTTTCTTTTACCCTACGGTGGAGGGTATTAAAAGTTTGGCCCGGCCGAACTTAATGTTTTTTTACTTGTTTGTTCTATAAGGAATTTTTTACTTTTTGTGGGGAAGCTGCCAGAAGGAGTAGACCAATATTACTAATCTCCGAACTCGACCAAAGTTTGATAATAATATTACGATGTATCAAGTTTAAAAAATGTCCTGAAACGGATTTGTTCCGAAGACCGTCATTTCGATGAGGCTCCGTAGCCATATGATTGGGGTAGAAATAACGCCGATAGATGCGTCTTCTCTCAAGCTCATAAACCCTGCTTTCATAACCTCTGAGTGAGAAATAAGGCCGATAGATGTGTCTTCTCTTAAATTTAATTTATTTATGACAGTGTAATTTTTCTTTCAAAATCCCGAACATTGACCTCGTTGATGGTGAAAATGTTCCCATAACTGTAAACTTAATGTAAACCTTATTATGCAATATTTAATGCCTGAATGACATCGCCCAATGCCAATGACTTGCTGAGTTCAATTCAGAGCCATGCAAAATTGAAAATAAAATTGAAAGTGTAACGATGTAATAATACCACCCATAATACAATGTAAAAACACCGACCACCCAACATGATGACAAGAAGTGCATTTCAATTTTTCATTCAAATTTCGTAGCTTAAGCTACCAAAGTTTGTCTACAACTTGGCGATTGGAAAAAAACCCATGGACAAAGGCAATTTTTCACAAAAATAATTGAAGCATTTATGATTGAGGTTTTTCTTTTCTATTTCCATTTTCAGACCTTCACTGAAACATTCATCACGTCGTGGCAGCAAAGCTGCTGTGGCAGAATTTACGCCTGAAGAACTTTTGGCTGGACAATTTGTGGTTTTTACAGTTTATGCCCTGCTGGAATTACCACCAACGGTAGGTTGGCCGGGCCAAATTGATTTGTGGGAGCACAATATGAAGAAAAAATAAGAAACTAACAAAAAATGCCAATAATTTGAAAAATTGCATTATTAAATATTTCATAATCTAATTTGTGTTCTCTGGGGGGATTTCCCTTCATTTTTCTGTGTTCTTGTAGTCATTTAATCGCTTTAGCAAAACCTATCGCTCGCTCAAGGACAAAAGTTCCAATCTAATGCAAAACATATTCGAAGAGAAGTCAGAGAAAACAACGAACAATGATGACAAGGAGAATACGAAAAATAAACGCAAAACCCAGGACAACCCAAGGGATTCAATGCCCCCGCTGACAATCAGTGAATCGAGAAGGAATTTAGGTGAGATCAAATTTGGAAGATTATTAATTAATTATTAATAATGATTTTGTTTTCGTTTTTGTATTTCAGGTGCCGTTACCTGTTATTTACAACCAAAGCTATTTAAACGCAACTCGCGTGGCGTCTTTGCCACGGAGGAATTGTGGATGCCCATTAAGGACATAAATACGACAGTTAAGAAACCAAATGATAATAACAATAATGTAAGTCGATGAAGAGTAAACGATATATAGCTCATTGACTCAAAGAGTGTCACATTTCGAATCAACATCAGTTTCGAGAAAAACGAATTTTAAGCAAAAATTTTGGGATATACGAAAAGAGAGGATAATCAAACATTTGTTTTAAATTTTAAATGAGTTGTGAACATTCCCCAACGTCTTCTAGAGAAGACCTCAAGATCTTCAAGAGAAAACCTCATGGTCTTCAAGAGAAGACCTCAAGGTCTCCCAGAGAAGACCTCAAGGTCTCCCAGAGAAGACTTCAAGGTCTCCCAGAGAAGACTTCAAGGTCTCCCAGAGAAGACCTCAAGGTCTTCCAGAGAAGCCCTCAAGGTCTTCCAGAGAAGACCTCAAGGTCTGCCAGAGAAGACCTCAAGGTCTTCCAGAGAAGACCTCAAGGTCTTCCAGAGAAGACCTCAAGGTCTTCCAGAGAAGACCTCAAGTCATCCAGAGAAGACCTCAAGGTCATCCAGAGAAGACCTCAAGGTCATCCAGAGAAGACCTCAAGATATTCCAGAGAAGACCTCAAGATCTTCCAGAGAAGACCTCAACGTCCTCCAGAGAAGACCTCAACGTCCTCCAGAGAAGACCTCAACGTCCTCCAGAGAAGACCTCAACGTCTTCTAGTGAAGATCTCAACGTCTTCTAGTGAAGATCTCAAGGTCTTCTAGTGAAGACCTCAAGGTCTTCTAGTGAAGACCTCAAGGTCTTCCGGTGAAGATCTCAAGGTCTTCCGGTGAAGACCTCAAAGTCTTCCGGTAAAGACCTCAAGGTACTCTGGTGAAGACCTCAAGGTCCTCTGGTGAAGACCTCCAGGTCTTCTGGTGAAGACCTCAAGGTCTTCTGGTGAAGACCTCAAGGTCTTCTGGTGAAGACCTCAATGTCCTCTGGTGAAGACCTCTAGGTCTTCTAGATCTTCCAGTGAAGACCTCTAGGTCTTCCCGTGAAGACCTCTAGGTCTTCCAGTCAAGACCTCTAGGTCTTCCAGTGAAGACCTCTAGGTTTTCCTGTGAAGACCTCTAGGTCTCCCAGTGAAGACTTCAAGGTCTGCTAGTGAACACCTCTAGGCCTTCTAGTGAAGACCTCTAGGTCTTCTAGTGAAGACCTCTAGGTCTTCTAGTGAAGACCTCTAGGTCTTCTAGTGAAGACCTCTAGGTCTTCTAGTGAAGACCTCTAGGTCTTCTAGTGAAGACCTCTAGGTCTTCTAGTGAAGACCTCTAGGTCTTCTAGTGAAGACCTCTAGGTCTTCTAGTGAAGACCTCTAGGTCTTCTAGTGAAGACCTCTAGGTCTTCTAGTGAAGACCTCTAGGTCTTCTAGTGAAGACCTCTAGGTCTTCTAGTGAAGACCTCTAGGTCTTCTAGTGAAGAACTCTAGGTCTTCTAGTGAAGACCTCAAGGTCTTCTTCTTCCAATGAAGTCCTCAGGGTCTTCTTCTCCCAGTGAAGACCTCTAGGTCTTCTAGTGAAGACCTCAAGGTCTTCTAGTGAAGACCTCAAGGTCTGCTAGTGAAGACCTCAAGGTCTGCTAGTGAAGACCTCAAGGTCTGCTAGTGAAGACCTCTAGGCCTTCTAGTGAAGACCTCTAGGTCTTCTAGTGAGGAACTCTAGGTCTTCTAGTGAAGACCTCTAGGTCTTCTAGTGAAGACCTCTAGGTCTTCTAGTGAAGACCTCTAGGTCTTCTAGTGAAGACCTCTAGGTCTTCTAGTGAAGACCCTAGGTCTTCTAGTGAAGACCTCTAGGCCTTCTAGTGAAGACCTCAAGATCTTCTAGTGAAGACTTCAAGGTCTGCTAGTGAAGACCTCTAGGCCTTCTAGTGAAGACCTCTAGGTCTTCTAGTGAAGACCTCTAGGTCTTCTAGTGAAGACCTCTAGGTCTTCTAGTGAAGACCTCTAGGTCTTCTAGTGAAGACCTCTAGGTCTTCTAGTGAAGACCTCTAGGTCTTCTAGTGAAGACCTCTAGGTCTTCTAGTGAAGACCTCTAGGTCTTCTAGTGAAGAACTCTAGGTCTTCTAGTGAAGACCTCAAGGTCTTCTTCTTCCAATGAAGTCCTCAAGGTCTTCTTCTCCCAGTGAAGACCTCTAGGTCTTCTAGTGAAGACCTCAAGGTCTTCTAGTGAAGACCTCAAGGTCTTCTAGTGAAGACCTCAAGGTCTGCTAGTGAAGACCTCAAGGTCTGCTAGTGAAGACCTCAAGGTCTGCTAGTGAAGACCTCAAGGTCTGCTAGTGAAGACTTCAAGGTCTGCTAGTGAAGACTTCAAGGTCTGCTAGTGAAGACCTCTAGGCCTTCTAGTGAAGACCTCTAGGTCTTCTAGTGAGGAACTCTAGGTCTTCTAGTGAAGACCTCTAGGTCTTCTAGTGAAGACCTCTAGGTCTTCTAGTGAAGACCTCTAGGTCTTCTAGTGAAGACCTCTAGGTCTTCTAGTGAAGACCCTAGGTCTTCTAGTGAAGACCTCTAGGCCTTTTAGTGAAGACCTCAAGATCTTCTAGTGAAGACCTCTAGGTCTTCCAGTGAAGACCTCTAGGTCTTCTAGTGAAGACCTCTAGGTCTTCCAGTGAAGACCTCTAGGTCTTCCAGTGAAGACCTCTAGGTCTTCTAGTGAAGACCTCTAGGTCTTCTAGTGAAGACCTCAAGGTTTTCTAGTGAAGACCTCAAGGTCTTCTAGTGAAGACCTCAAGGTCTTCTAGTGAAGACCTCAAGGTCTTCTAGTGAAGACCTCAAGGTCTTTTAGTGAAGACCTCAAGGTCTGCTAGTGAAGACCTCAAGGTCTGCTAGTGAAGACCTCAAGGTCTGCTAGTGAAGACCTCAAGGTCTTCCGGTGAAGATCTCAAGGTCTGCTAGTAAAGACCTCAAGGTCTGCTAGTAAAGACCTCAAGGTCTGCTAGTGAAGATCTCAAGGTCTGCTAGTGAAGACCTCAAGGTCTGCTAGTGAAGACCTCAAGGTCTGCTAGTGAAGACCTCAAGGTCTGCTAGTGAAGACTTCAAGGTCTGCTAGTGAAGACTTCAAGGTCTGCTAGTGAAGACCTCTAGGCCTTCTAGTGAAGACCTCTAGGTCTTCTAGTGAGGAACTCTAGGTCTTCTAGTGAAGACCTCTAGGTCTTCTAGTGAAGACCTCTAGGTCTTCTAGTGAAGACCTCTAGGTCTTCTAGTGAAGACCTCTAGGTCTTCTAGTGAAGACCTCTAGGTCTTCTAGTGAAGAACTCTAGGTCTTCTAGTGAAGACCTCAAGGTCTTCTTCTTCCAATGAAGTCCTCAGGGTCTTCTTCTCCCAGTGAAGACCTCTAGGTCTTCTAGTGAAGACCTCAAGGTCTTCTAGTGAAGACCTCAAGGTCTGCTAGTGAAGACCTCAAGGTCTGCTAGTGAAGACCTCAAGGTCTGCTAGTGAAGACCTCTAGGCCTTCTAGTGAAGACCTCTAGGTCTTCTAGTGAGGAACTCTAGGTCTTCTAGTGAAGACCTCTAGGTCTTCTAGTGAAGACCTCTAGGTCTTCTAGTGAAGACCTCTAGGTCTTCTAGTGAAGACCTCTAGGTCTTCTAGTGAAGACCCTAGGTCTTCTAGTGAAGACCTCTAGGCCTTCTAGTGAAGACCTCAAGATCTTCTAGTGAAGACTTCAAGGTCTGCTAGTGAAGACCTCTAGGCCTTCTAGTGAAGACCTCTAGGTCTTCTAGTGAAGACCTCTAGGTCTTCTAGTGAAGACCTCTAGGTCTTCTAGTGAAGACCTCTAGGTCTTCTAGTGAAGACCTCTAGGTCTTCTAGTGAAGACCTCTAGGTCTTCTAGTGAAGACCTCTAGGTCTTCTAGTGAAGACCTCTAGGTCTTCTAGTGAAGAACTCTAGGTCTTCTAGTGAAGACCTCAAGGTCTTCTTCTTCCAATGAAGTCCTCAAGGTCTTCTTCTCCCAGTGAAGACCTCTAGGTCTTCTAGTGAAGACCTCAAGGTCTTCTAGTGAAGACCTCAAGGTCTTCTAGTGAAGACCTCAAGGTCTGCTAGTGAAGACCTCAAGGTCTGCTAGTGAAGACCTCAAGGTCTGCTAGTGAAGACCTCAAGGTCTGCTAGTGAAGACTTCAAGGTCTGCTAGTGAAGACTTCAAGGTCTGCTAGTGAAGACCTCTAGGCCTTCTAGTGAAGACCTCTAGGTCTTCTAGTGAGGAACTCTAGGTCTTCTAGTGAAGACCTCTAGGTCTTCTAGTGAAGACCTCTAGGTCTTCTAGTGAAGACCTCTAGGTCTTCTAGTGAAGACCTCTAGGTCTTCTAGTGAAGACCCTAGGTCTTCTAGTGAAGACCTCTAGGCCTTTTAGTGAAGACCTCAAGATCTTCTAGTGAAGACCTCTAGGTCTTCTAGTGAAGACCTCTAGGTCTTCCAGTGAAGACCTCTAGGTCTTCTAGTGAAGACCTCTAGGTCTTCCAGTGAAGACCTCTAGGTCTTCCAGTGAAGACCTCTAGGTCTTCTAGTGAAGACCTCTAGGTCTTCTAGTGAAGACCTCAAGGTTTTCTAGTGAAGACCTCAAGGTCTTCTAGTGAAGACCTCAAGGTCTTCTAGTGAAGACCTCAAGGTCTTCTAGTGAAGACCTCAAGGTCTTTTAGTGAAGACCTCAAGGTCTGCTAGTGAAGACCTCAAGGTCTGCTAGTGAAGACCTCAAGGTCTGCTAGTGAAGACCTCAAGGTCTTCCGGTGAAGATCTCAAGGTCTGCTAGTAAAGACCTCAAGGTCTGCTAGTAAAGACCTCAAGGTCTGCTAGTGAAGATCTCAAGGTATTCTAGTGAAAACCTCAAGGTCCTCTAGTGAAGACCTCTAGGTCTTATAGTGAATAGTGAAGTAATCAAGGTCTTCTAGTGAAGATCTCAGGGCCTTCTAGTGAAGACCTCAAGGTCTTCTTGTGAAGACCTCAACGACTTCTAGTGAAGACCAAATTTTTATATCCTGAGTCATATGGCTAGAGAGCTTGAGATCATTTGATACGGCCAAGACGTGCCTCATCGAAATAACGGTTTTATACCCTCTTTGGATCGAATCTATTTCAGGACATTCGGAGTCGATTGAAGGGAGTGTCCGATTTGGTCCAAACTTGGTACATCGGAGTATTTTTATCAAACTTAGATCGAGAATTAGGAATACATTTCAAGGAATATATATCGTTGTTTTTCGTAGGACATTCAGGATTATGGATTTTTCTGAGGGGTATTGTGGTAAAGATAGACTTTGAGAGATTCAATTTTTAAACGACTCTCTGGCCAAAAATCGTGGATTTTCACGCATTTGCTGCTTTATTTTTATGAATATTTTGCAAGGACTTTCCGGCTATATAAGTCGTGTATTTTTTTTAAGAATATTTTTCAAAGGCCAACTGGCCAGTGACCAAAGATGATCTCTAGGACGTACTGACCAAAATCGTGGATTTTAAAAATATATTTTCAGGACCTACTGACCAAAAACCCGTGGACTTTTGAGGAATAATTACTAGGGACTTACAGACTAAAAATCGTGGACTTTTAAATAATTCTTGATTAATTATTGATTAAAAAATTATTTGATTAGAAATTGCATGGCCAGAAATCATGGATTTTTCTGAAGAAAATCTTGGCAAAAAATCATTAACTTTAATAGAATACATTTGCTCTTAAAGAGATTCTAGTCTGCGGATTATAGACGGGTTATGGGTGATGAAAAATAATACAGTGCCTGGTCTTATGTGTTTTCTATTTCTATGCTCGGAATTTTCCTCTGCACAAGACCTTTGGGTAAACTTGACATTTAGCTATCAACTTCGACTGGCCAAACAAAAAAAAAAAAAAAAAACATAACAACAAAAGTGAAAGCAGAGATAAAAAATTATTCACTTGTAGTTTATTAACATAAAGTTCACACTCTAAGTTGAAAGTAAAACAAAGTAAAGTTGGCAGAAAAAAGCAAACGGAGTAAATTTAAAAGCATTACTCTAGATTTGGAATAAAAAAAAAAACAAAAACATTAAGAAAAACCATAAACGTAAATAACTTTTAACATTACATAATTTGTGCGTTTTGTTTTCTTTTTTTTATTTTCCCTACAGTTATCGAATTCTACAAAAGGTGTTGTAGAACTCGTTTTAGAGGTACGAGAAATGGGCGAGACCATTGATCCCACCAATACGGACAGTTCATCGTCTTCCTCCGTGCCCAATGGTGGCAATAATAGCAGCATAAATTCAAATGGCAGCACAACTAGCGTTTCGACCGTAACCTCCACCAAGGAACCCAAATCTTGGAACAATCGCATGACATCGGACTTTAAGAAGCGTATGGGCATTAGTAATGTGAACACAAAGACCCATCATAAACTAATGCTAAAGGTAACCACATCGCGCATGCGCTGTTCGAATAAAGTCAAAGATGAACTGGAAGCAACGGCGGGTAGTGTTTATGTAAAGACAACAGTCTTCGATAATGGCATCTACATCGATTCATGGAAATCACCAAATTTCTATCCATCCCTGGCCACGAAATGGGATGTGGGCAAGGATGTGGCTACCCTGAATATACCTCTGCCAAGTATGGAGCATTTAGATCGGCTAATGATCCGAACCACTTTGGCAACAAAAACTAAAATGGCCAAAAAATTAGTATTAGGTACAGTGGTAATAGGCGGCACTGCTTGCGGAACAACGTTAAGCGGTGCGGGAGCCCAACAAATGGCCCAGTTAAAGGACTCTCCACTAAATGAACGCGTAGCCGTATGGCATTGTTATCAGTAATAGAAAAGTGCAGAATGAGAAAAGTGTTTTTTATTTATTTTGTTTTCAATTCATTTTTTGGAGTTTTATTATTATTTTTTAATGACAATTTTTAAGTTTACGTTTTTTATTTAAATGTTTAACACTAGTAAATTAGCAAACTTATTTTTTTGTTAAAAATGATTTATTATTATTTATATAACGAGAGTATTTTTTTTTCTAAATTTACAATTCCAAAAAAAGAGAACTAATTTGACGAGAATAAAATTAAATTAATAAATAAATTCAAGAAAATAAAAAAATGGGTGTTCTTTAATTATATACTGAAGAACGGGATTTTCTCATACAAGACCTTCTCAGAGAAGAGCAAAAAGTTTTCTCAGAGAAGAGCAGAAGTTCTTCTCAGAGAAAAACTGAAGGCTTTTGTTAGAGAAGAAGACCAGAACATTTTTTTCAGAGAAGAGCAAAGATCTTTTTAGAGAAGACCAAAAAGTTTTTTTCAGAGAAGAGCAAAATGTCTTCTCAGAGAAGAGCAGAAGTTCTTCTCAGAGAAGAGCAGAAGTTCTTCACAGAGAATAGAAGAATGTCTTCTTAGAGAAGAGCAGAAGGACTTATCAGAGAAGAGCAGAACATTTTCTGAGAGAAGAGCAGAAGGTCTTATCAGAGAAGAGCAAAAGGTCTTCTCAAAGAAGAGCAAAAGGTCTTCTCAGAGAAGAGCAGAAGGTCTTCTCAGAGAAGAGCAGAAGGTCTTCTCAGAGAAGAGCAGAAGGTCTTCTCAGAGAAGAGCAGAAGGTCTTCTCAGAGAAGAGCAGAAGGTCTTCTCAGAGAAGAGCAGAAGATGGTCTTCTCAGAGAAGAGCAGAAGATGGTCTTCTCAGAGAAGAGCAGAAGATGGTCTTCTCAGAGAAGAGCAGAAGGTCTTCTCAGAGAAGAGCAGAAGATGGTCTTCTCAGAGAATGGCAAAGAAGGTAGTTTTCTCAGAGAAGAGCTGAAGGTCTTGTTAGAGAAGGAGACCAGAAGGTTTTTTTTCAGAGAAGAGCACAAGATCTTCTTAGAGAAAAGCAAAAAGCATTTTCAGAGAAGAGCAGAAGGTCTTCTCAGAGAAGAGAAGAAAAAGGTCTGCTCAGAGAAGAGAAGAAAAAGGTCTTCTCAGAGAAGAGCAGTAAAAGGACTTCTCAGAGAAGGGCAAAAAAAGGTCTTCTCACAAAAGAACAGAAAAAGATCTTCTGAGAGAAGAGCAGCAGAAGGTCTTCTAAGAGAAGAGCAGGAGGTCTTCTCAAAAAAGAGCAAAAGGTCTTCTCAGAGAAGAGCAAAAGGTCTTCTCAGAGAAGAGTTTGCTCTTCTTCTCAGAGAAGAGCAAAAGGTCTTCTCAGAGAAGAGCAAAAGGTCTTCTCAGAGAAGAGCAGAAGAAGGTCTCCTCAGAGAAGGGCAGAGTCTTCCCATAGAAGAGCAGAAGATGGTCTTCTCAGAGAATAGCAAAGAAGGTCTTCTCAGAGAAGAGCAGAAGATGGTCTTCTCAGAGAATGGCAAAGAAGGTCTTCTCAGAGAAGGGCAGAAGCAGGTCTTCTCAGAGAAGAGCAGAAGGTCTTCTCAGAGAAGAGCAGAAGGTCTTCTCAGAGAAGAGCAGAAGGTCTTCTCAGAGAAGAGCAGAAGGTCTTCTCAGAGAAGAGCAGAAGGTCTTCTCATAGAAGAGCAGAAGGTCTTCTCATAGAAGAGCAGAAGGTCTTCTCAGAGAAGAGCAGAAGGTCTTCTCAGAGAAGAGCAGAAGGTCTTCTCAGAGAAGAGCAGAAGAAGGTCTTCTCAGAGAAGAGCAGAAGAAGGTCTCCTCAGAGAAGGGCAGAAACAGGTCTTCTCAGAGAAGGGCAGAAGAAGGTCTTCCAAGGGAAGGGCAGAAGAAGGTCTTCCAAGAGAAGGGCAGAAGCAGGTCTTCTCAGAGAAGGACAGAAGAAGGTCTTCTCAGAGAAGGGCAGAAGAAAGTCTTCTCAGAGAAGGGCAGAAGAAGATCTTCTCAGAGAAGGGCAGAAGAAGGTCTCCTCAGAGAAGGGCAGAAGAAGGTCTCCTCAGAGAAGGGCAGAAGAAGGTCTCCTCAGAGAAGGGCAGAAGAAGGTCTTCCAAGAGAAGGGCAGAAGCAGGTCTTCTCAGAGAAGGGCAGAAGCAGGTCTTCTCAGAGAAGGGCAGAAAATGGTCTTCTCTTAGAAGAGCAGAAGATGGTCTTCTTTTAGAAGAGCAGAAGATGGTCTTCTTTTAGAAGAGCAGAAGATGGTCTTCTTTTAGAAGAGCAGAAGATGGTCTTCTCTTAGAAGAGCAGAAGATGGTATTTTCATAGAAGACCAGAAAAAGGTCTTCCCATGGAAGACCAGAAAAAGGTCTTCCCATAGAAGTCCAGAAAAAAGTTTTCTCATAGCAGACCAGAAAAAGGACTTCTCAAGGAAGAAGATTGTCTTCTCTTAGAAGAGCGGAGAAGACCAGGTGCCCTTTTTAGAGACGGCGAGGAGCTTTTATCAAAGAAGACGAGAAGGTATTCTCATATAAGACGAGAAGTTCTTTTCATAGAAAACCAGCATGTTCTCTCATCGAAGAACAGAGGGTCTTCTAATCGAGGAAGATCTTAAAAAGCCAGAATTTTTTCTCTTAAAAGGACAGAAAGTTTTATTATAGAAGACCAGTAGATCTTCTCATTGAAGGCCAGATGTTTTTCTCACAAAGAATCTAAATATCCTCTAACATAGGACGGGAAGCTCTTCCCATAGAAAAATACCTTCTCGGAGATGAGCAGTAACTGGTCTTATACAAAAACAGGCAGTCTTCTGACGGAAGCTCGTCTCATAAAAGATTAGAAGGTCTTCCCATAGAAGATTCGAAAACCTTGTAGAAAATCATATGTTCCGTTCATGCAAGTCGAGAGGGTCATTTCGAAGAAAATAAGAAATATAGCAAACCCACGAGAAGACTTTGAAAAATCAATCGGGAATTCCATGCATTAATTATTTCGATATGTTTGTTGTAATCATCATAGGCAACAATGTTGCATGCTTATTATCAGCAGCGCGTTCTTCTGTCCCCCCAGCTAGTCGCTACATAATAACACAAGAATTTATAATCAAATAATAAATAGAGAAAAACAAAAACAATTTTAATTAAATATGGAATTTTCTAAAACAAACACCTAAACAAACAAATAGAAACAGAGAAACATAAACGCTGAATTTACTTTGCATTCGCAGCTATGGAATGCGAATTTATCAACAATTTTCATACACCAGTAGCATATCTGGAAAAAGAAAAAATTCTAATTTAGTAAAAGAATTTATCGAAATTGACATAGTCGTCCCTCCGCGATGAATGAATGAGTGACGGACTGACTGATTGATTGATGATAATTTCGTTTAACTCACGCAACAATTGAGTTATTGACATTTATTATTCGAAGTTCTTTGCGGTTTTCAATTGGCGATATGTCGATGCCGAGAGTAATGAATGCAATTTTCGCTAGCCGGCATGCACTTGTCTGAAACAATGGTCTTCATTTTAGTATTGAATGAATTCTTTAATATCAAGATCATAATTTTGCGCTGCAGTTGGTTTTTCAATTTTTTACTTCAATTGTCTTTTAATTTTTCGCAGCGCTAGTCATTCGTCATCATCGACATGGTACCGAAGTGATGTTACCAATTTTTTGTATCGTCGCTCAATGAGTTGTGGCGTCAAGTCGTGTATTGGAAACCCATATTTGTTGTGCATCGAGAATTGACTGCACCTAAGGCAATTGCCTGCAAACATATGGAAGCATGACTGTATGATCCGCACATGTGTTTACAAAGTGTGTAAATTGATTTCTTTATTTGTTTTCGGGGGACTTTATGGCAACAAGTGCAATGTCGAATATTACTCTTCAAGGATTTCCAGCCAATAAAATGGAATAATTAGCAAATTTTCCCATAAATGAGAAATATCAAATCGATTGCTGACGTTTTATTCGAATGTAAAAGGTAAGTTTCCCATAAAATTGATTGAAGTTCGGCAATAAATTGAAAATAATTACAATTCAGAATTAAATATTAAATTGTAATATTTAAGAAACTGTGAAGTTTTTTTTTAATTGTTATGTTGAATTAAGGAGAAACAAGTACAAAAGCAGTAAGTTCGGCCGGGCCGAACTTTGAATACTCTCCACCATTTTCAACGAATTTGAAAATTTTCGAAAAAGATAACATTCGCCAAAAATTTTGTTAACATTTTAAAACAAGTAAGCAAAGGCTACAGTCGAGCGGTGCCGATCGTTGAATACCCTACAACACTATAATAAACGATACAGTTTATATAGGCGAGATACTCGAAAGAACTCCACAAGATATTCTGACAAATAATAAAAGAAAACCATCAGGTTCCGTTCTCTAATTTTCGAATAATAGCAACTTAAACTAATTTGCTCATTTCCAATTTATTTGAATATTTTTGGATGGCCATCCAAAACTGCTAGGCTTTTGCAATGTCCGGTAACCCCCATTCAAATGTGCGTGAGGATCGGGCGATAATTACGACCTGCTGACAATTTTGCAGTTTTTTTTTTTGGTCCATTTCAACCCCTAAATATATTGCGATCATCTCCAAAAAGAGTAGGCTTCTATTCTGACCCTCATCTTATACCCATACAAAATTTCGTAAGGATCGGGCCATAAATGCGATCTGTATATGATATCCTGATATCCTAACTACTTAGTTTGGTTAGCTGTAGAAATATTACCAAATGTTTAATTCAAAATGAAAATATGCCAAAAATATGACAAAATTGAAAAAATATGAGAAAATGTTACAAAATCAATATTTTCATCTTTAGAGAGATATTTTTATGCGATTTTTTTAGACGTTTTTTCTTTCCTGCCAAAAGGCCATTCTGAATTAATGAGAACTGTCGAAATCAGTTCAGCCGTTCTCGACATATAAGAGATCTTTCAAGTATATCTTCTTTGATAGACATATATATCGCACATATTTTGCTTTATATCCGATTTGTTGGATGTTAACATCAATGTAAAGATCCGAAGTAACCTTGTCATGGCTTTGTGATTTCGCCCGGATTTAAAATATTCGCGGTTTTATGTAAAATTTTGAATTTTTTCAACACAAAAGATATGGTCTATTTTACCCGCTAAATATTATCCGATGACCACCCAAATTGGTAGGCTTCTACCCGCCCTAAACTCTAGCTACATGCGAAGTTTCGCGTCGATTGGTCTATAATTGTGACCTGTATAGCTACTGCAAAATCCGACATTTTTTCAGTTTTAGGTCCA